TTTTTTTGTAATAGCATTTCCTGATTATGAAATGAATGCACTTCAACTGTAGAAATACTGAACATTTCAGAAAAGCATAAAAAGGGAAATAAAAACCACTTGTGTTACCACCCAGAGCTGACATAGAACAACATAAAGAAGAAATTGTAATTATCCTATAATTCTACTTCTACCTTCTTGAGAAAACCACTGCTAATATGTGTCCTGTGTTTTTCTATCAATACCTCCCTTACGTAAAGGGAATCATACCGTGATACTGTTTTTAAACCTTCCCCCCTTTTAAAACTTATCGATATAATAAGAATGTCCATAACTGTATATCTTTAACATCATTTTAGTAGTGCCAAAATAAAAATTTTCTAGGCCAGGCGCGGTGCCTCACACCTGTAATCCCAGCACTTTGGGAGGCCAAAGCAAGAGGATCTTGAACCCAGGAGTTTGAGACCAGCAACATAGTGAGACTTTACCTCTATAAAAAATTAGCCAGGTGTGGTGGTATGTGCCTGTAGTCCCAGCTACTTGGAAGGCTGAGGCGGAAGGATCGCCTGAGTCCAGGAGGTTGAAGCTGCAGTGAACCATGATTGTGCCACTGTGCTCTAGCCTGAGCAACAAGGTGAGAGAGACCCCCAACTCAAAAAAGAAATAAAAATTAAAAAATAAAAATTTTCCAATCATCAGAAATATATTTTGTGAAAGATATCTATGTATATTTTTTAAAGGAGAAAAATGCGAAAAAGAAGATGTACTTTTGATGAGAAGAGGGACTTATCTGATAGCTTATTTTCTGCCTTGTACTTTCTATATTTTTCAGATATCTCTACTCCCTGAGATAACTGCAGCTAATATTTTGGTATATTTTCTAGCAACTTTTAAAGCATGTTTTACAACATCATTGGGATCATGCTCTATAGGATCTGGGACGCTGACTCAGTCACCCACTAGTGTCCAGGGGGTACTTGCCCACGTCCCTGATGGCCATGGGGTGTTCTTTCGTGTGGGGATGCTGTGACTCTTTTCATGCCTCAATAGTGGACTATTTGGGTTGCTTCTGATTGTTCACACTGTGTCAATAATTCTATGGTAAATAGTTCTGCCCTAAGTTATTTTGTTTCCCTGTCTGAATACTCCCTAGGATTCAATTCTATAGAAGCAGAGTCACTGAGTCAGAAAGTGTCAATTATGAAGGCTGCCATTGCATATGGACAGACTGGTTTTAAGAATTTCTGTTCACTGATTACCCTCAAATAGGCCCTTGCTCATTAGTTATAATAAACTGGGTACTGCAGATAACTATTGTTGATTGCCTTATTTCTTTTTAAAACAAATCTCTTGGTCTTATTCTTAGAGAAATACTGTATTTATGAATAGTTAATTACAAATATATCTAAACAAAAAGATTGAAAATAAAATTTAAATTAAAAGGTTAACAATCATATTAAAGAAAAGAAAAAAAAATTATCCTAATATAGCCACCATTAACATTTTGTCAAATCTCCCTCCCTCTCCTTTCAATAAATTGTACACAGTTGGAATAACATTCTATTAGTTTTGTATTCCATTTTTTGTCTAACATACTATTGCAAGCTTTTCTTCCATGTTGCTTCATAGTTGTCATAACTTTCATTTTTAATGATTATAAATTATTCCATTGACTTCATATGTCATAATGTATTCAACCATTCTCCTACTGAAGTTCAGATGTTTCCATAATTTGGCCTTTATAACACTGTCATAAATGTGGACTTTTCCCTCAGGTTTGGATCCCCAAAGTGGATGGACTGGGTCTGGATTTACATTTTTGTTTGTTCAGGTTTTTCACTGATTCATACTGGCCTATCTTCAGATTAGTCTCAGTGATTGAAGCTTCATCTTAACAACCTGTGACAATGAGGACAGTTCCTTTGGCAGCTTGCCCCATGGGTACTGGACTGTCCTCAGTAACCAAAGTAGCCAGGAGGCTCTCTCCTCTGCCAAGTGACCCTTGAGGGCTCTGGACGCTTCAGACTCAGGATGCAGGGGTATAAAACCACTTTTGACGAGTGCCCCTTTGGTTCCGCAGTGAATGCACTGAGCTGCCACTCACAAAAACCTTTTATTCCATGACTTTTGCCAACACGGAAAGAAAATATACAGAGGCAGGGAGGTAGTCATTATGTAACCCCCTCCTTTTTGCTTTTTCCTTTTGTAAGGACATCATCAACTAGGGATAGAAATGCATTTATGGTTTCTCCTTTCTGCTAAAGCAAACTCAAGCAGCTTCGTTTTCAGAAATGCAAAATTTACCAAGTTTATAAATGCTTCTTTGTGGACCGTGAGCCGTGTGGTTTGGCCCCCAGAGTTATCTCAGATAGCACAAATAAATCTGGCGGCCTCCAGTTGTCTCAAACTAAGCATTAGCCCCTTCCCCCGTTGTCTCCCTCCTAGCCTAGTTTCCTCTCGGCCTTCAGCACAGACTCCCTCTTCTCATTAATATGCCCTGTTAACTGCTGCCAAACCTCCAGCAGTTTAGTGCATATGTTCCCTTAATCATTTCTCTTTGTTCTGGAAATCTGTGTTGGTTTCTGAACCAACCTTTCTTTTTCCTGCCTGCCCTTCCACCATCTCCATCGCTCGCTATAGCCTAGGACTGTCTCCATGTTTATTTAAAGAACATCCTAGATTGCCGGCAGTCGAGAGAGGCTTTGCAATCTGCTGACATCGTGGTAAATCATCCACCCACCCCCTTCCTCCTGAGAGCCCTGGGCCAAGGCCCAGGTGAAGGGTCACCGGGACCCTCTAGAAAGCAGAGGTTTCTGGAAGACAATGTGAGCTCCCTGCCTGGACAAAGACTCCTTCTTAGGATTTTCTGCCCGTCCAACACGAGAAAAGGACGCTTTATTCTTGGAGCCCAGCGGTGTATAGGCACACTCGATCTCAATGAGTTATTCATGGTGTCCAAGAGAAATACTTCTGGGGCTGTATTTCATGTGAGATGGAAGAGGGCCTGGCATATGGACTGCGAGGCCGGCCTGCTTGCCCAGCGCCCTGTGCCTGTTCCAGCCGCCCTGTGGGAAGATGACTGTCCCAGCAGCCGAGCCCCCATCCCACATGTCCCAGGATCTTCTCAAAGAGTGAAGGGTCTTCTGGGTTCCTGTCCTAACTGGGGTCTGCACATACTGCCAAGCAGAGAGAGCTCTCTGCAAGCCAGTGGTGTGCAGGGGAGAGTGTGTGTTGTTTTTCTCTGCTTTTAAGTATTTTTCTTCTCATATGGAGTTGCAGCCTTTTGTAAGATTCCACCCACTTCCTTTAGCCTAGAGGGAACATGATGAGCTTCTCAGAGCCTGATCTTTCTTGAGAGCCCCTTTCTCCTCCGCAGGACCACTGTGGAACTCTGAAGTCTTATTCTTGGAGGCTGTATTTTTGTGTGTGTGTTTTTGTTGTTGTTTTGTTTTTAGTTGAGGCCTCATTCTGTCGCCCAGACTGGAGTACATGATCATGACAGTCACAGCTCATGGCAGCCTCGACCTCCTGGGATCAAGCTATCTTTCCACCTCAGACTCCCGAGTAGTTGGGAGTACAGGCACACACCACCATGCCTGGCTAACTTTTTCATTTTTTGTAGAGATAAGTTGTGCTATGTGGCCCAGCCTGATCTCCAACTCCTATAATCCTCCCGCCTCGGCCTCCCAGAATGCTGGGATTACAGGCATGAGCCACGGCACCCATCAAGACTGTATGTTAATATAAAATACTCTCTCCTTCTAACTCCTGTCCCTGCTGCTCCCCTCCATCCAAAAAAAAAAAAAAAAAATCAAAGAGCCCCTCACATCTGTACCGACAAGGGGCAAACCTGATCCTTGTTCTGCTTAATGAATCCTCCCATGAACTATGGCTGCTCAGGTCCTAATCAGCAGCTACTTGGAATGCCGAGAAAACTGTCCTAACACAGAGTTACAGCATATAGAAGGTGGCTTGGAGGAAATTCTCAGAGTGGAGTTTTTTGTGGGTTTTTTTCTTCCCTTTTTGGAAAAAAAAGTTAATGTTGCCTCATTCGGGGAGACTCAGTGCACTCTTCCACCTCGCCCCCAAAGGGAAGTTTGTATTCTTTTAAATGAAAGTATTTTAAAAGCAGAACTGAAGCCTAAAATGATCCAGGGTTCTCCTGAGCTCTCAGAAGGTGTAGATTTATTTACTATAGTTAAATCATAATTAGTTCTCAGGGGATAGTGTATCTTTTAAACGGCTTTATTGCCACCATATAGGTTTTCTGAATAATCAGAAACTTCTGTTATGATTGTGTTCTAGTGTTCGCACAGAAACACACCCTAAGTAGAAACAAATGTCAGAAATTGTTAGTTGTCACTTGAAGAAGGTATACACAGGGGTGGGGGGCACAGGGAGGGGGAAAGAACTTGATAGGATATTCTGATGAAATAAAATCTAACTGAGACTTAAATAAACCAAATATCAGCTTGGGTGGGTACACATGCCCCTTTTTTATATTAAAAGGTATTTTCTTGTCAGGCGCAATGGCTCATGCTAGTAATCCCAGCACTTTGGGAGGCCAGAGTGGGAGGTTTGCTTGAGCCCAGAAGTTCAAGACCAGCCTGGTCAACATAGGGAGACCTCGTCTCTACAAAAAAAAAAAAAATTTAAAAATTAGCCAGGCGTGGTGGCACTCGCCTGTAGTCCCAGCTTCTCAGGAGACTGAAGCAGAAGGATCGCCTGAGCCTAGAAGGCTGAGGCTGTAGGGGTGAGCCGTGGGTGTGCACTCCACTGCACTCCAGCCTGGGTGACAGAGTGAGACCCTAACTTAAAAAAAAAGCTTCTCCTTCCCTTTTTATTCTCACTGCAGAGGGTAGAAAGGAGCATGATATTCTTCCGGGTTACCTTTCTACAGGTGGTTGAAACCCGAACATATTCTCAGCTGAATGTCAACACAGTCCTTCTTCCTGCCCGAGATGTTGGTTCCCACGTGTGTGTCCCTGTTCTGATTGACCGGTCTTTCCCACCATTTGCAGGTTGATGTTTGAGATGCCACAGGAAATGGGCTTAATAGCGATCGCAGTTCGGCAGACCCAGGGCAGAGGTCAGTCATCTTTTGTTATTGTTGCATTATTTTTCTGTTCTAAAATCTGTGAGTCCTGTGGCCAGAGAGCTCATTACTGTGTGTGCTGATCATCCAGTGACTCAAGTGAAAAGTAGTTTCTGTTTTCGTAACCACCTGGAGTGGAGGAAGAGGGAAGGAAGCAGTGGTCAGAAGATGTAACCTTAGCAGAATTAAAGCATTCTCTTCAATTGTGATGCTTATTAATCCCTTGACACTTGCTTGTGATGGCTTTAACATCTGGCTATGTCGTGTCAATTCTGGGCTTTGCAGTTTGTGAGTTGTAACTGTGTTCTAGACACATTTATTTTCTAGAAGTTTCTCCATGAGGACCTTCTGTGTCTATACTTAGTGTCACATGGAGGGGCCTTTTGCATGTCAGGTCCCTCCCCGTGGGCCCTGGAGTTTGCTTGTACTCAGAGGCACTCCATCAATGCCCATTCACAAGGTGACCACAGAGAAGCGAGTGCTGCTCAGGGCGTCCAGCACCTGTTGGTTCTGCAGGCAAGAGCCCACATCCTTCCACAACCCACTGGGGTCTGGCCCCGAGTAGGTTCCCTATGCGGGAGATGCTTGATGTGGCTCGGTCACTCTCTGCCCCCAGTCGGTGCCAGGCTGACCCAAATGTGCTTTTTTTTTTTTTTTTTTTTTTTT